GTGCATCCGCTGTTAGTGCATCCGCTGTTAGTGCATCCGCTGTTAGTGCATCCGCCGTTAGTGCATCCGCTGTTAGGAAATGTGAGCTCATTACCTGTCAGTGATGCTAGGAGGGTTGCTTCCTCACTGAAACCGGTGAAGGGCTGGGTGGGGGGAATCCTAAGTCAGTTTTCTTTGGCTGGGTTTCCCTGTTTGCTCTGTTTCTCTAGAAGAAGCCTCTCCCAGTTTGTTTGTTTGTTTGTTTGTTTATTCTTGAGTCAGGATCTCATGTAGCCCAGGAATACTAGGCATGTGCCACTACATAAAGGTTTGGGGCTCTTGGATTTTCAGAAACCTGTCAGACTGATTGTTTAGTTGATAGTCCTGGTTTTGGGGACTCTTAAATTATAGATCTGGTTTCCCCAGAAGATGTTACCTATCTGTCCTCCTGCTTTCACAGAGAGAGTCAGCCGGAACTCCCCACTGAGCCACAGCTGTCAGGAGAAGGGTCAGGTTCTGAAGATGATTCTGACCTCTTTGTCAACACCAATCACAGACAGTATCATGAGAGTGAGGAGGAGAGTGAAGAAGAAGAGGAGGAGGCGGCCTGAGCCCCGGGACCCACTTCTCTTACTTGCTCAGGGACTACCCCTTGGCTTTTCTGGGCTTGGACATTCCCAGGGTGCCCTGCAGATCTTTTCCTTTGGATGGGGACAAAGCATGGCCCCTTTCTGAACTGACCTAAAAGAATTAAACCCCTGGTGGGTAATGACTTAACACTGGTGTCTGAGTGGCTCTCTGTGTGGAGGGAAGCTCATGGTGAAGTGAAGTCTCTTCTGTGGTGGAAGCCTTAATCATGTGTGGGTAGAAAGGGAAGGAAATGGTTTGGCCAGATTCTGCTGCATGTGTCTGGTTCACAGTGGTGCCTCACGCTGTGCTGCGCCTTACTGGGTCTTCCTTCATACCTGCTTACATTCAGTAGTGATTCTAGTCATTATGCTTGCAGCCAGGACTTAGTACCCACTTGCCTCTGAAGCACAGCTCAGGACAAACCTCATGGTGCCTTGTTATCCCTTACTGCAACATTGCTTACTACCTGCTGCCATACAGACAGCACCTGAGCACCCCATCTCTCTTCACCTTAGCCACCTATCATGTCCAGGGTGTGTGTCTGTGTTGTGAAAAGAAAATTCATTTTCTTTGAATTTTTTTCTAGTTTCCTCAGGGTATTAATTTCCTATAATCTTGATGTGGTCTCTAACCTAGCTTTGCTTGGAAATTACTGTGTAGCCTAGGCTAACCAACTCAGTAGCTGTCCTGCCTCACCGGCATGAACCTGTGGTCTACTAACCTTTTATTAAAAGCTATTGTAACGCCCTTACCCCTTGTACCTCAGCATCAGACCTTTGCTCATGACTGCCTCCGTTCATTTACTTACTCTCGCTGCTTTAGTCCAAAGACTCTTCAGTAGCTTAGGAACTTACTAAGCTGTACAAGCTTCTGTGAACTATGGCTTCATTTGTGGAGGCTTTTGCTTCTGACTATACACTGCTACCATTAACCCAGCCCTTTCTGATCCTGTCGAAGTTGACCTCTTGGCTTAGTCTTGCCCCTACTGGTCATTTGCTCCATTCCGCAATGGAGCTATTCAACCCTGTTGCCTACTCCTGCTGTGCTTGTGTGTGTGTTTTCATTGTGGTTTTGTACTAATGGGACTTGTACTTTGGAGCCTGCCTTTTGTTTTCTGAGGGATTTTGTTTTTCTGTTGTGGGTAGTTGGTTGAGCATGGAGGCATGTATTAGCTTCATATACTGTGTAGAATCTCTCATTTATGAACAGGAAATCTTGTGATCACATCCCCTCTGGCCCTCAATTATGTTTGTTATGTTGCTTTTTGTGATAGTAAATATATCCTTGGGTATACACATGTATGTATAAAATACAAATGTATATACATGGAAAAATAAACCAGATGGGTTAAAGATAAACCTATCTTTAACTTCTCTGAATTTTTTTATGATGAGTTATTTTTGTTTATTACTGTGTATTGAACCTCGGGCCTTGAGCACTTGGCATGGTTGATGGTGTTCATGTTGAGCTAGATCCACAGTTTTTTGCTGTGTCATTTATGGGAAGTAGAGAACTAACTTTTTAACTAGAGAAAGAGCCACTTGCCTCTAACTAGTTCATTAAAGGGCTCATTCTTTTCTCATTGATAGTACCTTTTAAAAATTTCAGATGCAGACAAGTATGGTTAGTGCATACCTTTAATCCCAATCCCAGCACTTGGGAGGAGAGGCAGGCAGATCTCCAAGTTCTAGGTCAACCAGAGCTATAGAATGAGATCCTGTTCAAAAACAAAAAGCAGGCATTATGGCACACACCTTTAGGCAAAGCACTGTGGAGGCAGAGTCAGGATGATCTCTTAATGAATTTGAGGCCAGCCTGCTCTACATAGTTTTAGGACACCTAACTCTATGTAGACCATGCCCCCCCCCCAACAGTCCCCCCAAAATAATCCTAACCAGGTGTGGCACCTATCTGTAATCCTACTTGGGAAGGTGAAGCCAGAGGATCAAGACATTCCCACATCTGGACTATATGAGACTGTCTTGAAAACACAGATTCCTCTACATAAGGGTCTTTCAGTATTCCATATCTGCCCTGTGTCTCTGTACATACACCACATATGTAGTACACTTGACACTTGATAGTTCCCTGACTCCATCATCTGAAGCTATCTCACATATCTATTTCCTCATTACATAAGAACTTTAGAATCAACTTGATTGATTTCATTTAAAAGTCCTCTTGGCATGGCCAATAAAATGGCTCAGTAGGTACACACTTGCTGCCATACCTGAGGAGCTTGATCATACCCCAGGATCCAAATGTTGGAAGAAAAGAACGACCTGAAAGTTGTTTGCTGACCTCCACAATAGTTTCTAGATCCGTCCTTACACACACCTCTTTTCCCCAGTTCTGAGATAATAAAAATTCATCACTGGGTTTTATTACTGTGAAGAGGCACCATGATCAAGGAAAACTTCATTGGAACTGGCGAACACTTTCAGTTTAATCCGTTATCACCGTGGTGAGAAACATGGCAGGCAGGCAGGCAGGCATGGCGCTGGGGAAGGAGCAGAGTTCTACTTCTTGATCCAAAGGCAGTAGGAGATTGTGCCATACTGGGTATAGCTTGATCATAGGAGATTGTCCCTACAGTGACACACTTTCTCCAACAAAGCCACACCTCCTTATAGTGCCACTCCCTGTAGCCAAGCATTCAAACACACGAGTCCATGGGGCCATTCCTATTCAAACGACCACCACCTTGCCCTGTTTTGTGAGTGCTGGGGCTCTAACTCAAGACTTTGTGCATGCTAGGCAGGCAAGCACTCTGCCAACTAGTATGGGTTTTATTTTTACCTTTTGTTGTTTGGATTTTTTGAGACTAAAAGTCTCTCTCGCACAGCTCTGGCTTTCCTGGAATTCTCTATATAGACCAGGCTAGCCTGGAATTCACAGTGGTCCACTTACCCCTGCCTCCTGAGTGTTGGGATCAAAAGTATGGACCTTTATTTGATATTTTTACTATTTTTTAAAATTAGATGTGTATGTGTGTGTCTGTGCATGTGAGTGCAAGTGCTGTCAGAGTCCAGGAGAGGATGACAGCTCTCCTGGTGATGCAGTCACAGCAGTGGTGAGCTGTGTGAAGTGGGTGCTGGGGACAGAACTCAGGTCCTCTGCAGGAACAGCAGTACATTTCACCGAGCCATCTCTACAGCCCCTTTACTTTCCTGTTATGTTTCTAAAGATTTATTGTTTTAAATCATATATATATATATATATCTGCACATAAATCCCAGTGCCTAAGGAGACCAGAAGCATTAGATCTAGAGCTGGAGTTACAGATGGTGGTGGGCAACCAGAAGTACATCCTAGGGACCAAACTCAAGTCCTCTGCAAGAGCAGTGTGTGTTCTGAGTCCCTTTATCTCCTTTTCTGACACACTATCTTTTTGATCCAAGATACTTTATGTTTGTATTTATTCCAGAAATATTTTCTTAATTATCTTTTTAAATGTTTTGTTTTTCTCTCTAGAATTCTCTTTATTTATTTAGATAGCATTACCTTCTGGGCTTAATGTCTCTCAGATTTTCTTTTCCATTTTCTGTTTCATCAGCCTTACCTCTTAGAATATTTTCTGGTCTGATCTTGAGTCACTATTCCCTTCATAAACTGTAGCCCCACTGTCGTAGATCCTCTGTTGTAGTGTGTGTGTATGCATGCGTGTGCGTGCACGCACTGTGACACACATGTGGAGGTCAGAGGATAACTCCCCTCCTATCCTGAATTCCAGATATCAAATTCAGGTTGTCAGGTTTGTGGGGCATGCACATTTACCCACTGAACTTTCTTGCCAGCCCTGTTACGGTTTTGGTTTGTGTTTTGTTGTTGTTTTAAAACATGGTCTCACTATGTAGCCCTGGCTGACCTTTAACTCACAGATTTGCCTCTTGTGTCAGTATTTGGGAATCTGTCCCTGACAATCTGAGATAGACAGAAGAGTAGCTGGCACATACCTGTATTTCTGGTGTTGAGGACAGAACTCAGGTCCTCTGCAGGAACAGCAGTACATTTCACCGGTGTTGAGAAGGCTAAGGTGGTAGGATTGTGAGTTGGAGGCCAGCCAGGGCTACATAGCAAGACTATCTCAAGGGGAAATAAAGGAAAGGAAAGGGTTAATGTCTTTTTTTTTAATATTTTTTTATTTAATGTATGAGTGCTCTATCTGCATGTATACCTATGTGCCAGAAGAGGGCATCAGATCCTGTTATAGATGGTTATGAGCTACCATATGGTTGCTGGGAATTAATTCAGGACCTCTAGAAGAACAGCCAGTGCTCTTAACCACTGAGCCATCTCTCTAGCCCTAAGCGTTAGTGTCTTAGCTAAGGTTTCCAGTGCTGTGAAGAGACACCATGACCAAAGAACTCTTAAAAAGGATAGCATTTAATTGGGGCTGGTTTACACTTTCAGAGGTTCAGTCTTTTATCATCATGGCAGGAAGCATGGCATCACGCAGGCAGACATGGTGCTTGGGAGCCAAGAGTTCTTCATTGAAAGGAAGCCAGGAACAGACTGACTTCCAGGCAGCTAGGAGGAGGGTCTTAAAGCCCAGCCCCACAGTGACACACTTTCTCCAACAAGGCCACACCTCCTTATAGTGTCACTCCCTAGGCCACTCATATTCACCACCACAGGTATCTTGGCTCAGTTTCAGGGTTCTAGTCTCTGGCTGCTTGGCTATGGCCGTGTTGCTTTTGGACTATGGTAGTGCAGTACATCACAGAGGGAGCATGTAGCAGAGGAGACCTCTCACCTTGTCATGAGGAGAAAGTAAAGAGAAGACAGGAGACAGAAGCCAGCAATTCTATGAGTTCTAGGACAGCCAGGTCTACATAGCAAGTCTAAGACAGCCCAAGCTAGAGAGATCTCATCTCAACAAAAGGAGGGCTGGAGATGACCAACATCATAACATCCCTTCCAGAGACACACCCCAGAGATCTTCCTACACACCCCAGAGATCTTCTTACTAGACTCTTTATTATTTATTTTTATTAAGATATCCTATTTTAACCAATGTGGTAGTACACACCTTCAGTCCCAGTATTAGGGGAAGTGGAGACTGAGGCAGGCGGTTCTCTATGAGTTTGAGGCCAGCCTGGTCTACATAGTTCTAGCATAGCCACAGCTATGTAGAGAAGCCCTATATCAAAAATCAACAGGACAACCCAGGGCTACACAGAGAAACCC